AAAAAAAAAAAAATGCGTGGAATTTTAATTTGAATAGTAAAAGGTCGCTCGAAAAAATCTAAACTAATGCACTAATAAATTGAAAAAAATTATGAGCGACCTTTCAAAATTTAAATTTTGAACTGAAACTTTCAGAAATTTATTTTTTTTTGTCTATAAAATTATACCGTAACGAGAAAAAAAAAAAAAAAAAATTCAATTTTTGACGATTTTTGAAATTTTAAAAAATTTGGAGTGACCTCTCAAAAATTTTTTTTTTTTGAGCTGTCCTTTGGTGAGGGCTTTTAAAACATCGAAAACTTTTTTCACTCGAGACGCTCGAGACTTAAAAAAAAAAATAGTCGGTTTTTTTGCGCCACCCTAATATATATAATATATATAAATATATGAAAAAATGATGTGGGTACTCAAACGAAAGGTCTCGATGAGTGTAATGTCGGGGTGAGCTTATATATTTAAAAATGTCAGTAGTTGACAAGATACAAGGTCATTTCGTAATTTAACCATAAAAACCCATTTTATCATATAAATACACTGGCCACAAAATTTTGCTTCTTCTCTTAATGATATAGATTATTCTCAATACAATTTTAATTTTATAAATAAACTCTAATTTAAATTTTTTAACTAAAAAATTTACGGAAAAAATTCTAGATAAATTATTAATTATAAATTTGACGAAAAAAAGTGAAATTTACTAAAGAAAATTTTTGTCATTACAAAAAAAAAAATATGAGTAATCAACTTACACTGCCTGCAAAATTTTCAAGAGCGCCTTTTGGTGCTGGAGTAGTTGTTGTAGTTGTAGTTGTTGTTTCACAAGGCGAAGCCGAAGCAGAAGCACAAGCGGTAGCAATAGTCTTATTCAACAACTGAAAATATAAAAATTAATAATAAATATTCTAAACAATGAAAAATAAAAAAATAATAATTACCCCTTCACTTAAAATTTTTATTAAATCTGCAGCGTCCAATTTTTTTTCTTCACAATATACCTGCAAATATTTTTTAAATGATATTAAAATTTGAATTTTGAAAAGCTTTATTGACAGAAAAATTAAAAAAATTACCTGGCTGAACGCGCAGACTAAAAGAGCGAAACACCAAAATCGAAGGAACATTTTTCTATTTTATTTTAAAATAAATAAAATACTTTTTAAACAGACTCTCCAGATGAGGGTCCGACTCAGACTGACGGAAATAAAATTTCTCTGGGTTTTTATATGAAAGAACGCAGTGGAAATTTATGTTTTTATCGAGAAACTCTAAGAAAGGTACATTATTTTATCAATTATAACTTTAGGAATAAAGTACCTGCTACTGTCACTTTTGGGCCAGAGGTTTCTTAATAATTACACAGTACTGTTAGTTCATGTCAGGTACCCGAAAAGTCAATAAATAAAAAACCAGAATTAACTTTAAAACCCCGTATTTTGAATGGGATTTTTTTGGGTCAACGTTCGGATAATCTCGGGAGAATATTTGAGTATAAAGAATTATTGTTAAGTGCTTTTTATTTTTTATTTTATTTTATTTTATTTTATACACTTAATTCTGTCGATTTCTTGCTTTTTATTTCATTCTTTGCTAGATAGAATTAATAGTGAGTACAAAGAGGTTTGGGCAAGAACGAGATGTGGAAATCTGTGGAGAAGCGGAAAAAAAGGGCAAAAGAATTGGGAATGCAGAATCCGAACAAAAACAGTTTCACTGTAAAAAAATCGCGCCAAGTCCACGTTCATAAGATTATTAAGAAAAAAAAATTGTTTTTTTCTTTACAAAAAGTATATAAATAAAAAAATTAAAAAATCCAAGTAACCAATATGATTGTATATGATTTTCCGAAATTAGAAAAAATTATGTTGTAAATTTAAAAA